CTACGTGTTTAGAAATTGTTAATAAAATACAAAGAAGAATCTACAATGTTATTGGTCTTGACCTGGCATCTCAGCTTCAGTCACTTTCCCACATCCGTAAGGTAGCTTCCCTGTAATTGTTTAGATGAACTTTCCTCTTTAGAACCTAGACTTTATGAATTCCTGCACAGTACTAGATTGGCGGTAAGGTCTTATCATTTTACAGTTGAAATGATTAGATGCAACCGTAAGTTCAATGCTAAATTTTTTTTTTCTCTCGCACTTCTTGCTTGTGGAACTCTCTTCCGATTTCTTGCTTCCCAGTCAACTTTGATCTTCAGAAATATAAATGCAATATCAATCGTCATTTTCTGTTTTCATAATTCTTATTCTTTTATTGTTCTCTCTCTGCTTAATAGTGTTTTTTTTTCTTATATTACCTCACACAAAGTAACCTCTTGTGTCTTAGTGGTTTTATTGCTTTTAAAATTTTTGTTGATTAAAACAAATATGAAATTAGTACTCATTATGAAATTTGATTTAAAAAAATGATATTTGTGACTTGGAGTGGTTAATCTACGATTATATGAAAATTAAATTGAAAAAAGAGATTATTTCTTATTGCTGTGCCTATAGTCTAATCCCAGCAATTTTTGTAATCTCCCGTGACTAAGCGGTTAAGTCCGTCTAACTTAAAGACAATTTTTCCAGAAATCTATGATTGATTCCCACAAAAAAAAACACTTCGTTTTAAATAATACTTTCGATTGTTCAGGCCGGTAGATATTAATTTCATTTTTTCATAAACTAATAAGTCTACTCAAATATGATGTACCCATGAAATATTAGGTTTATATATATATATATATATATATATATATATATATATATATATATATATATATATACTGAAAATTTAAAAAATTAAAGTCTTCAGACACACTGGGTTGTAGATTAATATTCTTTCGTTTTTTTATTATTATTATTTCATTTAGATTCCTCGACTAGTTTCGACCAAAATGGCCATCATAGGGAGGAGAAATATTTCTGCTTGCCGGTAGCAGTGAACTACAGAAATGAATGTCTTGATGGAGAAAATGAACTTTTTGTCTGTAGTTTTCATTTGTTTTTTATTTTTTTATCTTTTTTACATGAATCTTTTAACATTCCTTGTGTTGGTCAAACAGTCTCTTTTAAGTTGTTTTTTGAGATAAGAGCTGGATGGATCTATGCTTCTATGCTTATATATATATTTATTTTTGTTTATATATATATATATATATATATATATATATATATATATATATAACAAAATAAAATGAGAAAGAATCAACTATAAATTCAAACTTTCACAAAATTAATTTAAAAATAATACTCAATATAATCGTAGAGGAATATTCTATATTATGGGATATTACATTCAAACATATATAAAACCGCTACATAAATGCATTCATGTTTGGATGCATCTCATCAGTTGGTCATAATTATTTTACCACCTAATGAGATGCGATGATATGCATCGAAACATGAATGCATTTATGTAGCGGTTTTATATATGTTCAATATATATATATATATATATATATAATATATATATATATATATATATATATATATATATATCGATTTAAAGAAAATGAATTTCTTTTGTATGACCATTTTTTTTTTTTTTTTTTTTGCAGGACCTAGGTATCCATTATTCCAATATATTATATATATATAAAAAAAAAAAAAGGCAAAAAGAAATCGTTCATTTTTTTTAAATTATATTATGTGTCAGTGGTGCATTGTGGGTTCATTCTGGCGGTTATTTTGACGGGAGTTGTTTATATATTTATTTGGGTTAATTTATTTTATTTGTTTTTATTTATTTTTATATATTTATTTATTCTTTTCGGTTTTCGATGTTTTATTTACGTGGTAAAAATATTTTTTAGATTTGTTTAGGTCATTTATTTAATAGTTTGTTTTGGTCTGGGAAGATAAAGTTATTTTTCGTCCAATTTTTGGATTGACTGCTGTAGTCTATTCTAACTGTTATTTTAGCGGGGACAGTTTTGAATTTGTTTATTATTTGATTTATTTATTTGGATTGATTATTTTTACTTGTTTTTGCTTATTTGTTTTTATTTGTTCCATATTTTTATATTACGAATATTAATTTAATGACGAAGTGGGGAAAATTCATATGACACGTTTCGTCTTTTAGAACTTCATTGAACTACAGTCATTTTTCTGTTATATATATATATATATGTGTGTGTGTGTGTGTGTGTGTGTGTGTGTGTGTGTGTGTGTGTGTGTGTGTGTGTGTGTGTGTGTGTGTGTGTGAAGGTATGTAGAAAAATAGGAAAGAACTCGTTAGGTAAATAATCCAGGGTTGTTTAGTATTCAATACTCCATTCAGAAGTAGAGATTATAATTACTTTTTTTAAAATATGTTTCCTTCGCTACATAAGAGTTCTCATGTTTTAAAAACGAGATTCGAAACCATCAATATAATTATTAAAATTAAATTAAATTAAAGTAACAAGCCCTGTTTCATCCTTAAGCGAAAATTTAGGAATAACCAATTTTGAAATTTACGTATCGTTATAAGCATGTTCATTCGTTACTATGGAAACGGCTGGGGCGACCATTTTTGATAACGGATCTAAGAGTTAATTTTTATCCACATATCTGTCACCTTCAGGGAGAGGTAACGCTGAGGTAGGGTGGGGTGTCTATTTCAAAGCAAATGGTGGCATTCATGTACGCACATCGTCTGGTCCGTCACAGAGAAAGATAGATTTTGGCACCATAGTATGTTGTTAAGTGTCTGGATAATTTTGTCTCATTCTATTTATTTATTTATTTATTTTCAACGGGCTGCTTCATATATAAATGCGTCGCACTGAACTACAATTTGTTTTTTTGACGACTTCGTAAAGGGTTTTTTTCCCTTTAATGATTGGGTTAAGCTTTTTAGCCCTTTATTAAACTATGAAATTTGATTTTTTTTATGCTAATTATTTAATGCGAAATTTTGTTGATGTCGGAAAAAACGTTAACTCATGTCTATGGTTTAATAAATTTTCATTATTTAGAAACTTAATTATGTGTAGTTTTTCATGTAGGCATAAAGGGCATGGGTCATCCCAGGTTTTAAAAGTTCTTGTTCTATTTATTATTTCCATTTTACTTTTGGTGTTTTATTCATTTCTTTTGAATGCCAAAAATATTTGGATAGAGATGCCTGATTTCAGCTAAGCTTTTATGAAAATCCCTCGATGTTCTTCATACGCATTCCCTGTGGCAATTCTTACCGTTGATTTCTGCTATATAAAAGATTTGTATATCTATAGTAATTTTCAATTTTTTTATTTTAATCCGAACTTATTTCTTATTACGATAAACGTTATTTTTAATGGGTACAGTTGTTTGAATTGATATCCTAGTTGTAATATCAACCGGATTTTTCTTGCGCAGTGGAACGAGAGTAATCTACCGCCGTAGATTGAATAAAGGAGTCCGTTCGAAATTTCCTGAAGGTTACCCAGATCGACAAGCATCTGATAAAGGCCGATGTCAACGGTCGAAATGTTGTGATGAAAACAACAAAAAAGATAACAATAATCTGCGTGTAAATAAAACAGAAAAATAAGAGTTTTTTTTCCTCATGTCTTAATACTTTGCTTAGTTACTGGAAGACACTTTCCGATTTTCGACCAGACGTTTATGGACATGTTGCAGCTACTGGACGTATAAATGTGCATTTAATGTTTCATTGCGTTTTCAGAAATCTAAATGAATAATACATCCAACGACATTACCTTTCTTCCATGGGTTCGGTTTATGGAGATTTATCCTTGACAATCCACGGCCTTCTATGTTGAACATTGCCGAACTTTGGTGTGTGTGCTTCTATTGTATTCATAACTGCCACGTTTGATTCGTATGATATTTATGTCAGGCCATTCTATGGTGCATGGTACTCATCAACGACTAAACGGGTTTCCCTACCAGACCTTTCTGGTGATGAGAGTGGCTAGAAAACCCAGCAAGATTAAATGAAAACATGTCAAAAGGTAAGTGAACCTTCTTGTAGGGCCAGCGGTTATCTAAAACAATGGGATAGGCTGGGCTCCACTCACACACACACACACACATATATATATATATATATATATATATATATATATATATATATAAATATAAAAGTGAACATAGAAGTCAACACTTAGAGGCGACAGTCTGTTTCATGCTATATGCAATCGTCAGGCCACGTGTGCTGTTATTTTTCTCGGCTATTTATATATATACCGGTCAGTGGTGCATTGTGGGTAGTCTATTATGGCGGTTATTTTACCGAAAGTTGTTTATTTATTTATTTGGGTTAAATTATTTCGCTTGTTTTTATTTATTTTTATTTTTTGTTTCTTATTTTATTTATTTATTTATTTTTAATCGGTGTTTTTTATTAACGTAGGAAAAATTTGTTTATATCACTTATTTAATAGTTTTGTTTTGGTTTGAGAATTTAATTAAAGCTATTTGTTCGGTTTTGAGGTTGATTGTTGTAGTTTATTCTAACTATTATTCTGACAGGAACAGTTTTTAATGTGTTTATTTGGGTTGATTATCTTTATTTGTTTTTTCTAACGGTAACTCTATCGGGATTGGTTTGTTTATTTATTTACTTAGATGAATTTAGGTCAATTTATTTTACTTATATGTTTTTTCTTTTCGGTTTTCGATTTATATTTATATATATATATATATATATATATATATATATATATATATATATACAGACAGTAAGATAATAATGCAGCATAACTGGGTGGAAGGCTTCGTAGAGTGAAGTACCCACCCCCGGTGTTATCAACAGCCATATGCCAGTGATGAAGACGAGCTTTCATTCTGGAGGACATCGGCTGTGTTCTAATCTCTCGGGGGGCGGGCTCCATCAGGTCTAAAATACTCGACTGGATTGTCCCAGTTGATTATGAGAATTAGAAGAATAGTTTTCGGTACAGAAAGTCTGTCCAATTATCTATCTATCTATCTATCTATCTATCTATCTATCTATCTATCTATCTATCTATCTCAGCCTGTTCATTTCTTCCATACCGTCCATAGCGATATCTCCAACTCTATCTATCTATCTATCTATCTATCTATCTAACCTTTTCTTGTCTAGCCATTCATTTTCTATCTATCTATCTATCTATCTATCTATCTATCTATCTATCTGTCTATCTATCTGTCTCTCTCTCTATCTATCGTATTCTATTCATACCTATCTATTTATCTCAGCCTGTTCATTTCTTCCTACGGGTATGTCCATAGCGATATCTCCAAATCTATCTATCTATCTATCTATCTATCTATCTATCTATCTATCTATCTACATTTTACATTCACACAAAGATTTCCAGTCGCAATACTCGACTGAATTGTCCCAGTTGATTATGGCGAGAAGCGTAATGGTTTTCGGCAAACAGTGTCTATTCCTTATCTATCTATCTATCTATCTATCTATCTATCTATCTATCTATCTATCTAGTTAATTGATTGTTCGATAGTCGTCTGAAACAAGCGCAAATAACAGGTTGAATTTCTTCACTGATTCCTTTATCCTCGAAGATCTGCGACAAATGAAATTCTAATGAATTCTTTACTTGGAAAGAAATGGTATTAGAATCTGAATTCATGAATAAAAATGCCTGTGTAATTTAGACAACAAGCAATTATAGCCAAATAGATCTCTTCAGAGAAAATATAATTAAATCGTCTGAATATTAAAAATACATACCAGATTTTAGAAGTACACAAACGTAGTAAATATGTTCGTCTACCACCCGGTTTTACATTCCTTCCTGGTCTTTTGAACAGGAGTAAAAGTTTATCCCTTGTTTCCGGTTTAGGATTGGGTTTCCGGTTAGTTCTAAAGTCTACTTCAACTTTATATTTATAACGTCTCTGCTTGAAGTTTTAAATTTTATTTACTAATTATTTATTATTTTTATTTCTCCTCGATAGGGGTGGATAGGTTTGCCAAGAATCCAGTTTCAGAATCCTTCCTGGTCTTTTTAACAAGAGTAGGGGTGTATCCCTTGTTTCCGGTTTGGGATTGAGTTTCCGGTTTAGGATTGAGTTTCCGGTTTAGGATTGAGTTTCCGGTTTAGGATTGAGTTTCCGGTTCTTTTTAAAGTCTTTTCTTCTTCTTTCACTCCCTGCAGCTCCTTACGTCTTAATGGCATTGTCGTCTGGTATGTGATGAACTGATCAAAAAAAAAAAAAAAATGACTACAAGTGGATAAAGAATGGATTGATTGAGTTACCTGTTTTAACGCCATATCAACTCTATCCGTCATTTAATACCGAAAATATTTTCTTTTAAATATATGGCTAGTAAACAATCTTTTAGTTCGTTGATTTCACCACACTAATTATACCTGTAGAATGGAAGTACTTAGTGGTATAGACCAACATCATTCAAGTAAGGATATTCTCTACTTTTATCTTCTTGAAAAGGTTCTCTAGACAAGTCTTGCCATCAAATCGTCGCTGCAAAGGTCACTACAATCGCTTAAAATATGACTTACAGTATATGTCTCCTGATATGTTATGCATTTTTATGAGAAATGAATGAGTGATATTGGTGTGTCCTATTCTAATTATTCCTACTGAGAAAATCTGAGACCATGATGCCATTCTCCTACGATGGGTTTAGTTTTGTAAAGTTTGTTGTGTGTGTGGGACTTCCATAACTCTTGCCACTTATAAATGGATAAAGGAAGATAGTTTATCCTCGAGTGTATACAGTCAGTTGAGAATTGATCTTTAGTTTTAGTTCTGTATTAATGGATGAATTTTATGAACAGACTTAGAAAGAAAAAAGAAAGAAAAATAAAGAAAGAAGGAAAGAGTAATAACAATATCGGATATCATGGAAAATGGATATAAATAGATAAGCGGAAAACGAAATTACGGAGATAGATAGATAGATAGATAGATAGATAGATAGATAGATAGATAGATAGATACGAATAGACAGTGATAGATAGATACGAACAGAGATAGATAGATAGATAGATAGATAGATAGATAGATAGATAGATAGATAGATAGATACGAACAGTGATAGATAGATAGATAGATAGATAGATAGATAGATAGATAGATAGATACGAATAGACATAGATAGATAGATAGATAGATAGATAGATAGATGCGAATAGACAGTGATAGATAGATACGAACAGAGATAGATAGATAGATAGATAGATAGATAGATAGATAGATGATAGAATACATAGAACAGTGATAGATAGATAGATAGATAGATAGATAGATACATACGAATAGACATAGATAGATAGATAGATAGATAGATAGATAGATACATGCATACATACGAACAGTGATAGATAGATAGATAGATAGATAGATAGATAGATAGATAGATGACATGATAGATAGATAGATAGATAGATAGATAGATAGATAGATAGATAGATAGATAGATAGATAGATACATGCATACATACGAACAGTGATAGATAGATAGATAGATAGATAGATAGATAGATAGATAGATAGATAGATGCGAATAGACATAGATGGATAGATAGATAGATAGATAGATAGATAGATAGATAGATACATTCATGCATACATACGAACAGTGATAGATAGATAGATAGATAGATAGATAGATAGATAGATGGATAGATAGAGAATAGATAGATAGATAGATAGATACGAATAGACATAGATAGATAGATAGATAGATAGATAGATACATGCATACATACGAACAGTGATAGATAGATAGATGGATAGATAGATAGATAGATAGATAGATAGATAGATGATAGATAATAGACATAGATAGATAGATAGATAGATAGATAGATAGATAGATGATAGATAGATAGATAGATAGATGCATACATATGAACAGTGATAGATAGATAGATAGATAGATAGATAGATACGAATAGACATAGATAGATAGATAGATAGATAGATAGATAGATAGATAGATAGATAGATAGATAGATAGATAGATAGATAGATAGAAAACAGCATGAGAAAGAAAGAAAGAAAGAAATATAACCATACTGATAGAATGAGATCGGATATTGGATTGTTGAAAATATACAGCCATGTAGTTAAAAACACATAAAGAAAATGAACAGATATTATTTTCATGGAAATTTTTATTTGTGAAATGAGAAAAATCATATGTAATACAAAAGAACGACGCAATGTATCTTGAACATCTCTTTAAGGGTTATATTTACTACTCTAAATTATTTCTGCTTCCTACAGCCACTTCCGGTAGAACTCACTTTGCATGTGCCAGCTTTCCAAACAATGAGCAGGCACCAAATTTTATCACTGACGCAAATGTTTCTAGCATTTTTAATAAGCTATTATTCAAATAAATTCGTGGCATCATTATTCAGCCATCAAAATATTTCGCTTGGCTTTCTATGACTTTAAACTACCTTTCGGCTAAATTGTGTATGCCATCATCTTAGGTTGATGCAAAAGTTTGAAACATTGTTTTCTGTCAAAATGTTTTATCCATATAAATTCATAGCCTTATTATTCAGTCATCAAATTATTTTGTTTGACTTATAACTACCTATTTTTGTTTTGTTTTGTTTTTTGTTTTTTTTTTCACATCGAATTCACCCTAAGCAAGGCGTTAAAGCCACTAAGACACAAGGGGTTACTGGGTATAAGAGAAATATTACTAATGAGCGGGAAGAGAAAAGAGTAATCAGGAGGACAGTAGATGGCGATTGACATTTCATTTAAATCTTTGGAGATTTAAGTTGGCTGGATTTAAGTTAAATTGTATATGCCATCCCTTTGGGGGTTGATGCAAAAGTTTCAGAATTAATTTCTGATAAAATATTTTATCCATATAAATTCATATCCTAATTATTCAGTAATCAAAGTATTTTCTTCGGCTTTCTATGACCTTATATCTACTTTCAGCTAAATTGTGTTTTTACATCATCTTAGTTTGATGCAAAAATTCCCAGCATGGTTCGTTTGACAAAATCATTTGTTCATATAAATTCATAGCATCATTATTCAGCCATTAAAGTATTTTGTATATATTTCTACGATCCTACACCACGTTTCAGCTACAAAGAATATTCCACTGTCATAGACTGATGCAAAAATTTCCAATATTTAAAACAAAATTATATATTCATAGCATCATAATTCTTTCTATGATCTCTTTCAGCTAAAATGTGTATTTAATCACATATTCTTAAGAAGTGAATAAACTTCAAAAGTTTTCCTAAGAAGTGAATAAACTTAAAAAATGCCTTAGAAGTAAATAAACTTAAAAAATATTCCTAAGAAATGAATAAACTTCAAAAACCTTCCTAAGATGTGAATAAATTTTTAAAAAATCTCTTAGAATTGAATAAACTTAAATATTCCTACGAAGTGAATAAACTTCAAAAACATTCCTAAGAAGGGAATAAAATTAAAAACTGCAACTTAAGAACTGAATAAACTTCAAAAATATTCTCGTAAGAGCTGAAAACATTTTTTTTAAATACAAAGTTAAAAAACTGAATAAATATTTAAAATATTTCTAACATAAAACTTTTTTATCCTATTATTCACCCAAGTCCCAAGAGCCCCTCAAAGCAGAGGGTTACTGAATGAGGTTATAGTAAGGGCGTAAAATGAGAAAGTTAGAAGTGCATATTATAAAGGTACGTTGGATATCCATACGGATCCAGTGAAACTTAGCAGTTATGATTTTGGTCTCGGTGCACGTGGAGTTGACTGTCGCTGTTAAGGATGGGATCCTGCATTGGATATGCATGATAGTTCTCAAAGAAAAGTGGTGACAATCTAAGAACTGATTGACACATTTGCGATACAGTGTCAAGATTTCCCCATCATCTGTGGCCTAATCAAATAGTATCGGCACTAGTGCTATAAAATGAAAACTACAACATATATCAATTCTGCAGTTAATATCATTCGAAATAGTCCCCTTCTGACGCCACACCCTTTATACAGCGTCGTTTCCATTGATGAAAGCATTCCTGGAGCTCCTTTTTTTTTCTTTTTTCTTTTTTTTTTTTGAGAGCGAGCAGCTTCCCCGTCTCATTCTTTTGGATTTTTCCGACGTCTTGGAATCTTGTTGCTTTAAAGTAGGATAGGATTTTTTGAAAGAGGAAAAAAAGTCTCAAGGAGGAGAGATCTGTAGAATATTGTGATTTTCAAACCTGGGTAATGTTTGATCTTGTCCAAAAAACTGCTTCACAAACCATAATAACTGATGGAACACCTGCGGTGTCGTGAGACGACCACACTCGACACACTATCCTTCCAAGCACAGCTATAAACAACGGAAGTAAGTGATAACGTTATAACTTAGTGTGCATGCGCGGAAGAGTTCAAAGGTCAATCGGTGCTAAGCGGACTCACTCTGCGCACTTTAGCTCCGCTACCATAGCAACAGTCCCGATACTTTTTGATCAGACCTCGTTTTTGCGACTTGAGACACCAACGAACA